GGGCCCAATATGCTTGTGATTATGTTAATGATGACATTTGTATACCAGGTGGTAGGTAGCATTTGTCTTACATCTTGGCGATGTCTCATTTCTAAACAGAACCTTTGTTTAAACAGAAAGATTATAATGAAAGCTCTCTTTCTTAATGTCTTACAAAGTGATACCAAAAGTGCAAATTCTGTTGAGTAGTTGGGGTTCGTCTCTGAGATAAGATAGCTAACACTCAGAAGAAAAAGCGACAGCCTGCTAAGTGTATCATGCCCTCCCCAAGAAACAGAACTTGCACATGCTAACAGAAATCACAGAACATTGGAATGCTGCACAGCAAGCAAACTCAAAAGGTGTTTCCCTTTCACCTTTCCACTGCAGCTTCAGCCTACCTGATGTCTTGGTATGTCATTGAGAAAATGCCTTTGATGCTGCTTGTTTTAAAAAGTCAAGCATGTTAGGTAGTAAACTCGTCCAGGAGATAGTCCTACTAGGGGAGCAGCAAAATAGATTATCTTTGCCAACTGAAGTGGTGGATTATTTACATGCAGATCAGTCACATGGTGTGACCTGCTCCCACATAAAATAACTCAGGACATTAGTTCATTTTGAAAAGACCAAGGTTATAGATTTCTGTGGGCCCTCTCTTCTTCCTTGATTATATTTATGGTTAGATCCACAAATTTATAAAAATAAGCCAATTTATTTACTTGGGGCCAAGTGGAATACAGATGAAGAAATTTTTATACACTTGATGAAAGAAATGTATCCAAACAAAATGATTGTTTTGATTCTTGAAAGCCAGCCCCACTGCCATCAATGGCAGCTCTCATGGACCCCGGTGGTCTCCACCTGGAAAACTCTTCTTGCACTGGAAATGAGCTCTTAGGAGCCTCCCTCCCTTCAAGCAGGCTTTGGCATGAGGAAATTTTTATTCAAAAACAAGGCTTATTGATTTGAAGGAATTCTTATTACTTATTAACTAACCTGCGATTTGGAGAAAATAGACTTTTCAAAAAAGCTAAGGCACTGTTGGTGGAATCATTGAGTAGCTCATTGCACTGGGAGCAGAGCAGTGGCATGGTGTAAGCAGGGTGCCTACAAATGGCGGTGTTCTGAGGTCCGTGTAAGGAAGAAACGTTTCTCCATCTTGAAAAATCAGGTCTTCCTCAGCATAATTCACTATTTGAAATCCAAAGGGAAGCACTGCCCTGAGACCAAGTTCAGAAAGGTTGGGAAAGCAGAGCAATGGAAAGAGGAGACACACAGGGAGGACAGGGGACAAGTGATGTTGCCTTGTGGGAACTGAAATTAGTGATATGAAACAAAATCTGTATGAGTCATTGAATGGAAATAAATGGTTCTGTTCTGTAAACCTTTGTCCAATTCATAACAAAAAGAAAAGAAAGATCGATGACTTGATAAAAAGGGTCTCCACACACAGAGCTATTCAGTTCTCTTTTTCTCCGGAGCTGGTTTTCGCCCAAAATGTAGCGTCGGGTCCTTGTGACAGAGACCCTATGGATTATAAAGTCGAATATCTTTACCATTTGTGCTTTTACAGAGAAGTTTTGCTAATATTTGCTATAGAGATCATTATTTCATAGAAACAGAGGCTGACTTAAAATACCCCTATTCAATTTTGGATGTCTTCAAATCCAAAGTTTCTCTTTATAGATCTGCACGTACATATACCAGATGAGAAATCATGGATTTTGATATCGTGATACAAATTGTATAGCCAAAGAGCCCCAGTGTCTAGAAAAAGGCAGACTGGCTGAAAATAAGAAAGAAAACACCAGAAAGGCTGGGGAACCAAGAGCCATAGAAAACCCAGATGATGACAGATCTTTCTGTGCGTCTGCCGTGCCACCACTTTGATTCTCAAAGGCTTTGAAAAGGTGTAGACTCAGATGCTCCACTTGGATCCCCAAAAGAATGGCTGGTTCTGTAAATTAGAAAGCTCTTAAAATTGGCAATCCAATTTATTGCAAGTAAAATTTGGGGACAGAACTACATAAAGCACTTTCCAAGTAATGTAATCTGGTCCAAATAGATTCCAATTGAGAAGTGCTCTCAATACTTTCATACAAGAAAATTTTTTCTTAAAAAAAAAAAAAAATTTTATTGAGGCTCATACAACTCTTATCACAATCCATACATCCACTCATTGTATAAAGCACATTTGTACATTTGTTACCCTCATCATTCTCAAAACATTTGCTCTCCACATAAGCCCCTGGCATCAGCTCCTCATTCCCCCCAACCGTGCCCCCCTCTCCGAACCCTTGATAATTTATAAATTAATATTTTGTCATATCTTACACTCTCCAACGTCTCCCTTCACCCACTTTTCTGTTTTCGGTCCCCTAGGGAGGAGGTTATATGTAGATCCCTGTAATTGGTTCCCCCTTTTCACCCCATGCTCCCTCTACTCTCCCAGTATCACCACCCTCACCACTGGTCCTGAAGGGATCACCCGTCCTGGATTCCCTGTCTTTCCAGTTCCTATCTGTACTAGTGTACATTCTCTGGACTAGCCAGATTTGTAAGGTAGAATTGGTATCATGATAGGGGGGGGGGGAGGAAGCATTTAGGAACTAGAGGAAAGTTGTATGTTTCATCATTGCTACCCTGAACCCTGACTGGCTCATCTCCTCCCCACTACCCTTCTGTAAGGGGATGTCCAGTTGCCTACAGATGGGCTTTGGGTACCCACTCCACACTCCTCCTCATTCACAATGATATATTTTTGTTCTTTGATGCCTGCATACAAAAGAATTTTAATGGCAGCAAGATACTTCAGATTGAAAATGTTTAAACTGTTAGGTATTCCAAAGCTTAGATCAGATAGCTTCTCTTGACATTTAAAATATTTGCATATGCATTCTACTGGATTTTCATTGATTATAACTTTCCATCTCAAAAACAGTTCAATGTGAATTTGGTTATTTCAAAGTTCACTTTATAGGCTGATTGAAAAACTAAAGTCTTCTGGTCACAAAATGAATGAAATTTATTTTACTTTTGCGAAACAAAATGAATACGGGGGTATGCCCTTTTGGACTAGATGCAGGAATTAGGGAAATGGGGGAGATAAATGGGACTGGTTTTTTAAAGGTTAGCAATATATAGTATACATTTTTATAAAAAGATGAGAAATGTTGGATTGTAATAGAAGTCAAGACTTCTTATCTAAGAGACTGCACAAAACAGGCGGCCAGCCAGAGTCTGCCCATCGGTCACCATTTGTCAACCCCGGCTTTACACTCACTCTACCATGGGCCATCCAGCAGCATAATAAACACCTCCGTTAATTGTGGGATGTTTATACACAAGTTGGCATATTCCTAATGCTTCTATTGCATGTATTGTAAATCCAGTTTAACTATAGTGTAAAGCCGATTTTTTTTTAGTGAAACCGAGAAAAAAGAAGTCCCCAAATAACATTATCATGATAGCGTAATTATGTTAACATCATGCCATATTTACTTGTAAGTCATTTCGTATGTATAGTTTTTACATGAGTGCAATTATAATGAATATATTTTGCATGCAACTTTTGTGATCTCGTCTTCTATCATTAGTATTTTCCATAAAATATATCATATGATAGTAATAGTTTTCTATGTTCTGACTAAAGAAATATAACTATCCCATAATATATTTGGCTTTTATCAAATTCTGGGACAATAAGGCAATCTAAGATTTTTGGCTTTTTTCATTATTATGAGCATCTTTGTGCATATTGATTTATTTATAAGGTTAGATTCCTTATATTCCTTTGAAAGATTTCCAAACGTGGTCCTACTGCCTATGAGTGTATGATCATCATAATTAATAGTGAATTTATGAAAAGCATATAGTACTTGTATTAATGAATACAGTGCATGAAGTTCTTTATATGTGGCCCACATGGTGCGAAGTACTTCACATATATTATCTCACAACAAAACTATGAAAGGAATATAATTATCCTTACTTGTAGAAGTAGAAAAGAGTCTGATTGCAGTGTTTGACTGCTAACCAGAAAGTTGGCAGTTCAAGTCCATGAGCCAGTCAACAGAAGAAAGAGGTGGCAGTCAGCTTCAATAACAATTTACAGCCTTGGAAACTATAGGTCTTCTTTTCTCTCTTATAGGATTGCTCTGAGTTGGAATTGACTTGATGGCAGTGGTTTTGATTTTGATGATGGAAGGATAAAATGAGTGGTACTAACAGAGTCAAAATTAGGACCTACGTGTGTCTAACACCAAAATCCAGTATTGCAGCATTTTATTGCTTCGACCAATTTACAAATTTACAGTGCCAATGTGCCAGCATGTTCATTGACAAGGATGTATTTTACCTATAGTATTGTTTCTTTCTCCATTGTGTGATAAAGCCCTACTTTCTCTGATATTGATTGCAGCATTGAATTCTCTTTTAATTCTTTTCTACACCTAATAATGAGACAGTATGTATTTATCATGCCTCTATGCTCCCATCTTTTAGGAGTAAGGGTTAATCACCTTGAATTATCTGTAGCTTCCTGAGGATGCTACTGAGCTGTATTTATATTAGACACTCAGAGTCAGCACTAAGCTTGACACAACATCTGGGATCAATAAATGGCCACTGAATTTAACTCCAGTAGGTCAAGTCCTGCTTTTGGCAACTTCCTCCCATTGATACCAACCCCTTTCTATCTGCTACAGGAGAAATTGAGTGATTAGTCATGTTTTCACATTGTCATCTTGCCCTCTAGGTCTCAGCTGCTTAGCTAACCATTGACCACTCTACTGCCCTAGTGAACTTAGGTCCATGAACTTTGTTTCCCTTGGCATCTGTCCTTGACCAGTTCCCTCACTAACAAGTAGTATGTGCGACGAAGGCCATTATCTTCAAATTCCAGGATATGTCCCCTGGGAGAGACTGAATGAATCTCAGACCTGTGGTTATTCTTTGCTATCCTGTTGATTCCAATTTATAACAACATCACACACGATCCCCTGGACTTGTTTTATTTATTTTTAAATATGAAATGCTTCACGAATTGTGTGTCATCCTTGCGCAGGAGCCATGCTAATCCTCTCTGTATCGTTCCAATTTAGTATATGTGTCGCCAAAGCAAGCATTGGACTTGTTTTATAGGCCCCTTAGATGATCATCTTTTTTGAAAAGAGTCCTGGTGGTAGAATGGTAGCAGATGAATCCTACCAGTCACTCTGCCAAAGAAAGAGTTGGCCATGCACGGAGCTGTTCTACGTTGTCCTAGAGCAGTGGTTCTCAACCTGTGGGTTGTGACCCTTTTTGGGGCCAAAGGACCTTTTCACAGGGGTCGCCCAGTTCATAAAAGTAGCAAAATGACAATGATGAAGTAGCAACTGAAATAATTTTATGGTTGGGGGGGCCACCACAACACGAGGAACTGTATGAAAGGGTCGCAGCACTTGGAAGGTTGAGAACCACTGGCCTAGAGGGTTGCTATGAGTTGGAAACTATTTGAATGCACAGCACAATAATCGCTGTCTTTAAAGAGGAAGTGGAGAGTACAGTTAGCACGTTCAAACAGGGAACCATTAGTTGAGTTATCAAGAGCATGACCAGGGCTCTTTGAGAGCAAGCCTGTCTTTGTTGCTGTTAAAACCCTTAGCTGACTGCAGACACCAAGGATATTATCTCTCTAGTTATATTCCTTACTTAACCATTCTGAAAAATGGTTGTACTTTAAGTCAGAGGGAGCCATGAAGAGAGGTTTTTCATATGTTTCGAAGTTTGGGTGCTGACTCTAATTCCATTCGAGAGAATTTCACACATCCGTGTTCAGAGGATTATTGTCATGGTCATCATGGTCCTCATCATCCTCTTCAGGTTGGGGTAGAATTTTTAGTAATCCTCCAGGCAATTGAGCAGTAGGATTGCATCACCAAGATTATGGCTGCCAGATATAACTTTTCCATTATATCTTAGTCTTATTAATTTCCACTCTTATTCCTATTTGATTTGGATTGGATGCGGTTGAGGAAACTTGCTCACTGCCATCGCGTCCTATGGGAAAGAGTAGAACTCTCCCGGTGGGTTTCTGAGATTGGAACCCTTGACTGGAGTTGGAAGCCCCGTTCCTCTCCTGAGGAGCAGCTGTTGGTTGGTCATTGCTGACCTTGGGGCTAGCTGTCCAAAGCATCACCCCGATACCACCAGGGCTCTGAGATCGAGGAAAGGATGACCAAAATGCTACCCAGAAATAAAAGAATCTACCATGAAGTGAGAACTGTTAAAGATTCAGGTTTGGGATAACAGTTGTATGAGCCCCTAATAAAATGTTTAAAAAAAAAATCAAAATAAAATAGCAAAAAAGGGAAAAGAAAGTAACTGTCTATGTACAAATATGCCTGACACAATTGATGTATGGATTGTAATAAGCATTGCAAGAGCTCTCAATAAAATGATTACAAAACAAAAAAGAAAAAAAAAAAGATTCAGGTTTGGACTCAGAAAAATGGAACTGAAAAGTGCATCCCAGCCAAACCACTCTGAAATGTTCAATGAATTGAGGTACATCAGAGATTTAAACAGGGCACACACCATGATACATATCTAACTCTGCTTCAAGAATAGGGCTTTTTCTTGTTGCTGTTAGATACAATTATGAGGGTTAATCAAAATGTATTGCTACTGGGTCCTCAGTTCATATATATGCATGGACTTCCTTCAAATATAATGTTCTTAAACATGTCTCTGCTATCAGTATATGGCTACAGACAAGTTCCCTCAGTAATGCATGTTTCTTTGTCTCCTTAGGATTCCTTCAAAACAGGTCCAATCAAAGCAGTAACCTCAAATGGGTTCTCCTGGCCAGTTAAATTCAAAATAGAGAGTTCAGCTGCAAAGGCTTTAGGGACTCTTTTTTTGTTGGGTGGGGGGGATGCCAAAGGGGTAATTGCGGTAGATTTTTCTCAGAGGATACAGGACAATCATGAAGACTTACTATGAATGAGATTTAAGAACTTCTGACACAATGAGACAAAGACCAGGAATGCTACTTCAAGGCATTTGCTTTCGCTGTCATGAAGTTGCACCTGCTCATTCTTCAGGGACAGTAAGACCTGTCTTAGGAAAATGTCATTGTAAACTCTTACCCTCTTGGCCCCACAACCCTGACCTTCCCCCTTCAGATTTACTTTTATCCTCCAAATGAAAAGAACTGTAGAATCAAAAAAAGGGAATCCAACTGAGATGCCCCAATTTTGCCATTTCATCGAGGTGCAAATTGAAGAGGATAGGCTTCCTGGGGGGAAAGGGCTATGGTCCTGGAAGCCAGGACTTCAGAAGGCATAGACCTATAGAGTCAAGAACTATATGGTGTCAAGAAATAATCTGCTTCAGATTTTTGATATTTTTATTTTAGAAAAGTTTCTCTGATTTTATAGCAATTTTTTGACTGGCCCTCATATATTAGATTCATATTCAAAGAATATGTTTCAACAAATCAGTTTTATGAAAATCATTTCAACATTTTCTATAAAATCAGAAACTAGAAGTAGCCTCAAATCTTTGCATGTTTTATTATATGGTCATATATGTATATGGTGAGAGGAACTTTGTGTTTGTAGCATCTATATATACTTTAAATTCCCATGAAGGGAATGTGTTTTGTAATTAATGTAGGGTTTTCTTTCGGGGAAATGTGTTACAAATTTTGTACTTGGATAAAACAATCTTGGGTTGAATAAAGCAGTATAGTTTCATCCTTGAACACAAGTAAGAATTCACTTCTTACTTAGTAACCAGAAGCTATATGTAAACTAATGAGCAGGTTACATAAGGCAATTTAACTCTATGTTCTGCTTAACTTTATGCTGAACAAAACTGTTTGAATTTACAAGGAAGTCAGAGGAAAATTGCTCTGCTAATAAGCACAGCAATGATTATGAATAATGAATATTGGAATGTTATTATAGAATAAAGCCACCAGCCATGATGTATCTTGCTGTTAAATTATTTAAAATGCTGCTGATAATTATAGACTTGTGTTAAGTCTACATCTGTACATGTTAAAGCTGGAATCACAGTTTTTAATCAGTACCTTTATTTCTTCCTTCCTTTGGTAAGGGGAGAATTTATATATGTGTGTGTGTGTGTGTAGATAGATAGATAGATAGAGAGAGAGAGAGAGAGAGAGAGAGAGAGAAAGGGAGAATGTGTTCTACAGTTAGAATTTTACTGGAGGAATTATATTTAAATCAATGTATATTTACCAGGGAGCAGTGTTACTTCAGGGTGAGGATTGCTGGGGGGATTTTAGGGAAGTACATGGAAATAAGACTATGACAGTTAGTGGAATTGCTACTCTGCTATTTCTCTGCAAAGAATGAGGGGGAAGGAATACATTTGATCATTAAGAAAACAAAATATGAAATGCATATTTAACACTTCATTAAATATGTAGATTGCTGTGAAGTCTGGTGAGAAGGTTAAGGATATTGAGCTGCCATAAAGCATCAGCCCACACATACTCATTTGCCCCCTATACAATGAAGTCAGAAAACGGCCCCCAAAGAGCCAGTGTTGGTGAGGCATCAAAACTGGGACCTGTGACACAAAAGCGCATTACCAGGAATAAATCTTCTCGCTGTAAATTCAAGCCATTTTAACTTCTCTCAAACACACACAGAAGCACTCTGTTAAACAGATATGTAGTGAAGTGCGTTTCCAAGGGAAAATTGCCCAAATCGACTCCACCCACAGCCGTCAAATCTACTATGACTCATAGACAGGGTCCAATGAGACCCCTGGGGGCTTCTCAGGCTGTAATATTTACAAGAGCAGAAAGCCTCCTCTTTCACCTGCACAGTGGCTGGTGGGTTTGAAATGCTGACCTTGTGGTGAGCAGCCGAGCATACAATCCACCATGCCAACAGTGTTCCTTATAAACTATTAAACAACACCAGCCAAATGAAGTGATGAGTCACCACTAGCTTCTTGCATTTCTCACCCCTGTGAACATTGCTTCTTCTTCTCCACCAGTTCAGGTGCACCAACATTCAACAGCCGCCACTGCTGTATTGTATAAAGTTCTTGCTATGGTACTATTTGGTGGTCTGGTGGTCTCTCTACAGCAGATGTACAGTCATGTGCTGCAGAACTTCCATTTGGGAAACATCCAAGCCCATCTACGTCCTTATTCCCATACATTTATAGAATTCAGAAATCCCAGTGAGAGAATGAGCTTTAGTAAACCAAACAAATTCCCAAAGGCAACAGATATATTACATGACTCTTGTATGCAAAACCATTATGCTACCATTTATACTGTATGCATACATACAGTATAATGCATACATGCATACAGTATAAATATATACACACATACATACTGCAATACATATGTTTTGATAGTCAAAATATCTATGTTACTGACATGCATTATACCTTCTCTCTAAGAAAGGTCGCTACATAACTGTGTATGGTTCAACTCAGCATCCAGTCTCATGTACCTCTGTTGTGCTGTAGCACTATCTCTCCATTCAATTTTCCTCTGAATATGCTGTCATGAAGTGCCTCCTGGTTCCCAGACACAGCAGACCCTGTGCTGGTGACCGCGACTGAAAGGCAAAGGAGAAGTATCCGTTTGAAAGTGAACCAGAGGTCATTAAAGAACACGAGGTGGACAATCACTGACTGCTATGGCGTCCAATATAGGCACGTCACACTTGACAAACGTGCCGATCCACAACAACAAAGGGAAAACTCTGTAAGCTGGTAAACAAATAGGCTGTGATGAAGGCTACTAGGCTAACAGAAAGGTGCAGGGCCTACAGCAGATAGGGAGAAAGGGCCCATGGATGCTGCGGATGGAGGACCAACCCCAAAGCCCCCTTCCTCTCAGCATAGTGGGCAGCAGGGATATGGCCTGAATCTCACTGACTCGAGGTTTTAAGAAGAATCGGGGGCAGGAATAAAATATGGTGTTTGCCCAGCGTCCGAATCACATAATGGCCTTTTTCACAGAACATGTATAGTGGGTGTTAAGGGATGAATTTTTTGAAAAGCAGAGATATCTAGACATCTTTGAATATTTTTCAACTGTATATTTTTCAATGTAAATAATATTGATGGAGTATCCATCACTG